GCGTTCCTTGTGTCCCCATGAGCCCTTGGGCTCTCAGGTTTACAGCTACCCTGCTAGCCATGGGCAAGGTCACCAGATGGGGGTAGGGAGGTTGATGGGGTGCCTCAAGGGACCTGAACTCAGCCCCCCCCCGTCCTCCCGCCTCCTTCCGCAGCGATGCATCGACTGGAACCGGGACATCCTCAAGAAGGAGCTCGGCCTCCAAGAGAAGGACATCATCGACCTGCCGGCCCTCTTCAAGATGGACAAGCAAGGGAAGGCCATGGCCTTCTTCCCCAACATGGTACGCCTCCTGCTGCCCCAACGTCTGGACGAGGTGGCTGTACTTAAGGGTCTCATCCAGGCAGCCACCGCTGGACCCGCCAGCCAGCATGATCACATAGGTGCAAGAGTCTCAGGAGCAACTTGGAAACCTAAAACAGGGTGGCCTTATTCCGCTCCCCCAGCCCACCACGGCCACCCATGTTTCCAAGCTGTGCCTCTTACGGTCTCTTGCACAGCATGTTGAGGATTCCCCCCCCTCCCAATTCCCTGCCGCCTTTTGATGGAGGACATGATTCCCCACCAAAAGTGAATAAAGAGAGATCATGATGATGATGATGACCCTCCAGCTGCAGGGTGTTTGCTTCCTATTTCTTTTGCGCGAAGTGTGCAGAGTCAGACGACACTTGGGACTGACTCCTTGGCCCTCCTGGTGGACCTCGGGAGACCCTCTAAAAATCCCTGCCTCTCCGGCTCTTCTCCAGCCTGTTTCCCAAGGGCCAAGAAGCCCCCGTCTCCCTGGGGAGCCTTCCCGACCGGGGGGAAAAAGGCACAGCCCTCTCCCCGAGTGACCCCCCTCTTGTCTCTCTCTCTCTCTCTCTCTCTCTCTCTCTCTCTCCCCCCTGTCGGTGCAGGTGAACATGATCGTCCTGTCCAGGGACCTGGGCATCCCCAAACCCTTTGGGCCCATCATCGAGGGCGAATGCTGCGTGGAGCAACACGTCTCCGACCTGCTCGAGCCCCTGGGGCTGGTGTGCAGCTTCATCGACGACGTCTCCTCCTACCACCAGCAGCTGGGCGAGGTTCACTGCGGCACCAACGTCCAGCGCAAGCCGTTCCCCTTCAAGTGGTGGCACGTGGTCCCCTAAGCGGAGGTTCCCCCAATGCCCTGCGTCAAGGGAGGGGTTCAGAGGAATGGGTTCGACGCCTTGTGGGCCTCCCCAAAATCACCCTGAGTTCCTGGTGGGGCAGGTGGAACCGGGGGGGGGAGTGTTTCACCAAAGTCCAGCCAGCAGGAGACACCTAGAATGTTGCCTGTGTTTTGGGGGGGGGGCTGGAGAGGGGAGAAGGTGTTCCCTTGAATCCTCCCAAGAGGGGCTCCTTCCCTTCTTGTCTCCTTTCTTTGTTTGCTTGGGGTGGGGGTGGGGGTGTGTTGATCGAGTTTCTCGGTGGGTTGCAGGTGGGATCTCGGCTCACCAAGGGTGGGGTGCTTTGATGCTTTCCAGAAACTCTGTGCATGCTCTGTGGTGTGTGTGTGTGTGTGTCCTGTGCTCTCCTCTTCTTCAGCAACTGGCTGATGGGGGCCCTTCCACCAAACATGCCACCAACCGAACGCCCACTCCATACTCTGTGTGTGCGTGTGTTTGTGTGTGTGTGCTTTTTGTGTGTGTGTGTGTGTGTGTTAAACCTGCTGGGATTCATGGCAGCTCTAAGTTGCGTGACTGACTGGGAGGCGTTATGCCAAACAGGGACTTTTAAAAACTATGGTTTGGATAGGTATTCCTCTCTCTCTTTTTTTGGAACAACAGTAATAAAAAACGGGGAGGCTGCTTCTCTGATGGGTGTCCTTGTTCCGTTTTATCTTTTGCAGAGAAGCGCCCCACTCCTGTGGGTTAGGAAGCCTCGGGTCCCGCCTGGTGGATGGGCCAGGTAGAAACAGAACTTGGGGCGGTCACATTTTTGACTCCAAGCCTCACCATCCCCGGGCGGCAGGCCCCAGCGAGAAACTTAAGGGTGTTCTCCGCTATACGTTTTGGCTTCCTTCTGTTTTTATTTTATTCCTAAGACAAAAAAAATATGACAAGGAGATAAAGCCGCTTGTTAAATCAAGAAAAAGCTGGCTGATGGAGGCGCAGTCTACCCTACTTCCTCGCCGATGCTGCGCAGGAGTTTAAACTTTTAATTCACATTGCAAGAGGTCTCTGTTTAACGGGACTTGTCGGTTAGCGACGTTCCAGAAGGGTCTGGGAGGCAGAGGAGGACAAGGTCGCTTAACGCAGCACAGAGGTTTTAGAAGGACAAGTCCCAGAGTCCTCAGAAAATGAAGCCACCCGTCAGGCTGGCTACGGGGCTCTTGGGAGTTATGCGCTAAGTAACTTTTTTTCAGGTTTCAGTGCCTCTCAGAGCTAGGAAGATGGCTTCAGTCCCACAAAGGGCAGGGAAAGCGGAGTTTCAGCATTGGGTGCCTGTGACATGTTATTATCTTGCGACGACCCACGGAGGGCCCCCGATGGGAGTATCGAATTCAAGGAAGGAGGGAGATCAGACGAGGAGGGATGATCCGAGAAGGCCCCCAGTTGCTGTTAGAAAGCCCTGCCTGGCACTTCAGCCCTGCTCCCAATGGCAACAATGCCATCAACGCAGAGAGCGCACAGGGATCGGATTCAGCCCCTCCTCTTCCCACCCATGATAAATGGGATTCTTGGGGCAGCGGGGCCCCCACCCTGGTTCTGTGCTGGGGAGAGCAAATAGCTATGACAGGGCCACCTCCTCTGGGGAAGCGCCAGCTGTGGGAAACGGGAGACCAGGGGTCAGAGATGGCACACACATACCTGGGGGGGTGTCGGTGCCCCCACACCCCACCCCTCTTTTCCCCTTTGTTGTGGTCTAGATAGGGTTACGGGGCAGGCAGCAGGAAGCAGGGCCAGCCCCCCCCCCCCGTAAGCCAATCCCAGCCCCAAAGGAGGACCACCACCACCCGCCTCCTTGTTTCGGGATCGCCTTCCAGAGCGCCCCCCCTTCTGCCCCAACCCATCCAGGAGAGAGAACATATTTGCACATCAGATGAGCGGTCTAATTATGCCCCTCGCCATTTGGGAAATGCTCCTGGAGAACTCTGGTCGTGCTGAAGAAAGATGGCCGAGGGGGGCTCCGGCCGGGGGCCTGAATGTGGGCCTCGGGAGTCTTGCCCCCTCCCCGCATGACTCCTGAACAGAGGGGCCAAGCGCTCCACCCCCACCCCACCCCCACCCGAACCATGGTGCCCAGGGAGCTTGCTCAGCTTCTGGTCCAGAAGTGAAGGGGTTTGCTTTGGGTCTGAACAAAATCACGGCCTGGCCGTGGCGGTCTTCCTCCAGATCCCATGGTAAAGCCTGGCGTGGCCACCACGGAAGTGGGCGGTGGGGGTGGGGGGGCCTCTGTTCAAAGGAGCAACCCCCTCAAGTCAGCCCTCCCCTCCTGTGGGCTGGACTGCAGGTCCCCATTCAAGTTGCCCCAGCCAACATGACTCTGCTGTCGAGGAGCTCATGGGAGTTGTAGTCTCTTTTGTTGCAGGGGGGGGACATCTGGTTGGGAGAATCAATGCGAGAGAGAGAGAGGAACGGCTTCATTTTACTGCCCCATCACACAGTGGAAGCTAAATGAATTCTTCTGCAAAAATGATCCCAGCAGGGAGGTGTGCTCCTATCCCTGCACAATGAGCCTGTGCCTCTCCAGTCCCACACAGATTGCATGGTAATTAAAACAAAAGGCCATAATTAAGCCCATACCTCCCTCTTGTGGTCAGGGTGGGAAATGCCACGCATCTCTCTTGAAGCCATGAAGTCAGTGTGTTGGTTCCCGATTTGGTCGTTCCTGAGCGAGCCAGCTCCCATCGTCTTCCACCCTTGGCCGTGCTGGAGGGGGCACATGGGAGCTGCAATCCAAGAATGTGCCAAAGGACCCATTATCCTCAGGAAAACCCACAGGTAAAGGAGGACAGAGGCTGGATTTGCCTCCTAGGGCAATGGTTCTTAACCTTTGTTACTTGGATGTTTTTGAACTGCAACTCCCAGAAACCCCAGCCAGCACAGTTGGTGGTGAAGGCTTCTGGGAGTTGCAGTCCAAAACTCCAGAGTAACCCAAGGTTAAGAACCAGTGTCCTAGGGCACCTTCCCACGTGACCGAGGAGGGTGTTTCGGTCTTGCTTTGGCTTCCATCCGTCGGATAAGCCCCATCCCCCACCTGCACCCCTGCATCTCCCTCCTGGCACCCCTGCAAGGCAGGGTTAGGCCAAGACATGAGACCTTGCCTCCAAACGTCAGGGCTGTGCCTGAGGAAGGGCAGAATCCAAACCCCGTTCTTTGCTGCCCACCTTAAGCCAAAGTAACCACTATGCCTCACTCCCCATTCCCTCCTCCTTTTGTTTTATACAAAACAAAAATGGCACGTAAGAAACTTCTGAGAGAAGAGATGGGTCCAAACTTCCCTTTATTTTTGTGGTTGGTTTATCGGCTTCCCCGCTTCGCTCCCCCTCCCCCACCTTTGAATCTAGAAATAAGACTGACAAGAGAGGCGTTCAGACGAAGGTGCATAGATTCTGTTCCCTCTGGGGGGGTGTGGAACCTTTATGGGCACATGCACAGACCCCCCACGGACCTGACCACGGTGCCACATGGATTTCAACTCAACCATCAGGGAAAGTTCACCGTTTGCCACCTGAAACCCAAAGCCCTTTGCTGCGCCACCAAGCCACGGATAAACACTGTTGCACCACCACCAAACACAACGTAAACCCTTCAAGGCCAACCCCCAAATGTTGCAAAACCCTCGGCGAGAAGCCCCGATGGGGCTCGCTCCAGCTTCTCTCACTGGCCAGCCCCACGGCTCCAAGGCCCCCCCTCTGCTCGCCTCAACCCTCCCCCAAAGAGCTCCAGACTGTGAAGACGATTGGATGTCCGTCGTCTTGCTCGCTCCACCCTCCCTCCTTAGATCCACAGAAGTCAAGTAGGCTGACTTTCCACCCGCACGGTGCTCCTCCGTTTCCTCTTCCTCTATAACATCTCCAGGAGCGGTCCTTAAATACGGACGGTATTGATCCGGAGTGGCTGCACGTTCTTCCCGTTGGCGTGACTCTGCCCAGGGCTGAAGTAAGAGCACAGCTTGCCCGGAAACTTCTCCCGGAAGGTGTAGAGCCAGGACATGTCGTCCGCGTTGTAGAAGATGAGCAAGCCCTTCTCGTAGTCCAAGAAGACGCCCACCTTCTCCAGCTTGCTCTTGACGTTGAGCCGGGTCCAGGGCTCGGTGCAGGCGCTGTACTGGTTGCCGTCGTGCATGACGATGCAGTAGAAGCCGCGGCTGGGCTGGATCTGGATGCTGCCCTTGCGGCTGACGGCCTCGTGGGCCAAGCCAATCATCCACTGGGTCTTCTCGGAGACCACCACCTCCCAGTAATGGACGCCGCCCCCAAAGGCCTCCGAGCCCAGAACCGAGACCTCCACGTCAAAGCGCTTGGGGGAGTCCTGGAGCGGCTGCGGGTGGAGGTTGCCGTAGGCCACAATGGTGCAGTCATCGGAGAGGATGAGGCGCTGGTGGGCCGTGGCCGGGTCCAGCGTGAGGGTGGCAGGCACTGCGGGCAGGAAAGAGGGGTTAGGCAAAGGAAGGGCGCAGAACGCACCACGGACTCCGCGGGGAAAGCCCGGCTTGGCAAACGCCTCCTGGTCAAGGCAGATCCAAGCAGGCAAGGTGGACCCCAAGGCTCAGATTCGGTAGGGGAAAAACCCTCTTGCCGTCTGTGTTGATCCACCCCTTCCTTGGAACCCTGAGGACTAGAATCATGTTTGGTCCTAATGGGAAAGGGTCCCTGGCGCAGAGCTCTTTTCTGGAATCCAGAAGGGACTCAGTCCAACTTCCAGAAGCTGCGGTCAAGATACTGAAGACCACACCTGGGGAAACACGATGCTTCTGTCCATTTCAACAACCTCTTTAAAGGTTCTGCTAGCATCCTGTGAGAGTTCTCAAACTTGGAATTTGAAAGAGCAAAATACGTGAAGAGCACGCGGTCCGTGTCAATAACTGCCCCCCCCTGCTTTCGTCCCACCATCCCAACCTTGGGCTAGGGAGGAGCCCCCTCACCTGGGTGGATGTCGTGGAAGAGGGACTTCCAGATGGTGTATTGGAGGGGCCCCATGTACTTTGAGGTTGGGAAGTCTTCGTAGGTCAGGTTCGTCTCGTGGATCTTCCCTTTCAGCCTTAAGGAGGAGCAGAAAGATGAGAGGGAGGGGCTTCCTCAACCAACCGGGTGCCCACCGCCTTCTGTTGCGGCCCAACCGGCCACCGTGGCCAGAGATGATATGGCTACTGGAGACCCTACCTACCTACTTGCCAGGAGCAGCCCATCCTGCCCTCTTAGGTCCTGCCACTGGAGATGCTTCCCTCCCTCTACCTGGGAGCTCCATCTCCACCCCACCCTCTCAGCGCAGCTTCCCCTCTTCCGCCACCCACCTCTCTGAGAGGGAGGCAAAGCCGGCCAGGAAGGTGTGCTTGTCGGCTTCCGCCAGGCGCTCCTGGATGAGCTGGCTCCCTTCCTGGACCTTGCGCAGCTGCTGGCTGTAGCGCTGGATCTTCTGCTCGATGTCCGTCAAGGTCCGGGCCGTGTCCGCCTCCAGCTCCTCCAGCATGGCCTTCTGGCGCTCCCGCAGGAGGCGGTGCAGCCGCTCAAAGGCCTCTCCGATGGTGGCCCGCAGGCCCTTGGCTGAGGACTGGAAAGATGGGGGTGGGGGTGGAGAGAAGCGAGAGGAGAGGAGGGAAGCATGGCGGAGGGGGCAAAAGCCTCTCTTGGGGGAAGAGGAACAACTGCCCACCCACCCACCCCCCCCGCCAAGCTCTATATGTGCAGGGAGGTAGTATTTCTTTCCATACTTGGGTTGACTTCCCTTCTGGCCCAAAAAGACCCGGGCTGACCGGCCACCCCCTAGACTTCTGTACTGGGTTGCAAATGACCGACAGAAAGAAAACTGCAGATTCCCCCCAGGGCTGATTAGAGCAAAGCAGGAAGAATGACACCTGGAAAGAGAACGGGTCTCTGGGGTGGGAATCCCTGTCCTGGTGTCGGATCAGGACCTGAGAGATCTGGGATCGGATTCCCCCTCTGCCCAAGGAGTAGTGGCTTTCCAGGAGGCCGCCAATACCTCTCACACTGGCCCACCTCACAGGGTTGTTCTTAAGACAACGGGTCCCTGGTGGCACTCAGCTGGAGGACTTTGGGGGTCCTCCCCCCCCAGAAGGAACTTTTATCAGGCCCTGAGCCCAGCTGAACCGTCTTTGGAGGGGAGAACGGAGGGAGAAGCCCTCGAAGGAAGGAGCCGGGACCCTCCAGCGTTCGCTCACTTGCAGCCACGCTTACGATGGCACATGTAGTCTTGCCACCGCAGGTGTCAGGGTTCCTCGTGTTCAGAGAGAATCGCTGCTCCCGTATTGACGGTTACCCTCCTGGCCTGTTCATCCCACCCCTCCCTTGTTCTTTTTCTTGCTACAGGCTTTCCTGTCCTGGAAGAACAAGTTTATATTTGTAGCAATTTTTTTTTTAAAAAAAAAATTCTGGCAAGCTCCCTGAGAACCAACCCGGGGCCAGAACGGAGGCGGTCAGCTCAACTGACCGGAAGGCGAGAGACCGAGTTCAGCCTCCTCCACAAAAGTGGCCCCCCCAACCCTCCTCCTAGGGCCCTCCTTACCTTGGTGTCGGCCAGCTGGCGCTTGAGGAGCGCCAAGGCCTCCGTGTGGCCCCGCTCGCTGTCCTGCAACGTCTGCAGCTGCTCCTTGAGTTCTCGCTGGAAGGGAAGCGACAGGGGTGGCTGTTCAGGGGTGGGTGGGGTGCGTGGGGCCCCGCTGGAGACCAACCCAGCCTAGACTCTGGCTTCTTGGGGGGGGGTCAAGCCCCACAAACAAGAGCCCAGTGGGTGAGACCACCTCCTCTGCGGCTGCCCCAGGCCGCTGGATTTTTAGGATAGACTGTCTGAAACCCTGGAAGCTCCATTTATTGGCTGCTGGCAATTCCTAAACCTGGATTTTTAAAGCAAGGAGGAGGGAAGGGGCTCCCGGACCATCCCCGACACCACAGGCTCTGTGTCGGCTGGACCTCCAGAGGGCTGCAGCCCCTCCGCCTTCTGCCGGGGGCCCTCCGTACAGGCCAGAGGCCGCAGCTGAGACCGGGCAGAAAGTCTGCCAAGGGAAAGCGACCCACCCAGAGGGGCAGCCTTCCTTCGGAGAGGTGGGCTGGGCCTCCCGCACTCCCACCACGGGGACGGGGGGCCTGGGGTCCCCTCCGGCGGGGGCTTCCCAGGGGGCGGCCTTCCTCCTCCTCCTCCTCCTCCTCCCACCTGTGGCGCAGGCGGAGGGCCGTCCGGGCACCCTCCCTCCTTCCCTCCCTCCCTCCCTCCTTCCCCACCTGGAGCTCCTCGCAGGCCTCGTCCAGGCTGGTGACCTGGTGCTGCTCGTGGAGGGCGGGCTGGTCGCAGAAGAAGCAGACGACGGCGCGGTCGGTGAGGCAGAAGAGCTTGACCTTGGCGTGCTCCTTGGCGCAGGCGGCGGCGGCGGCGGCGGCGGCT